TAAAAAATCTTCTAAAACCAAAATGTATATTTTTAGTTCTTTTTAGTTTCCTCAAAACGTCTATTAGAAACTCGTCAAGAATCAAGTTTAGCCTAACAAGTGCGTTACCTGTCTTGAAAAATCCGTTGGTTGAGATCCCTACCAAATTAATTCTCATCGTGGCCTATTGAGGGAGGCAGTAAAAACATTCAGCCGCGTCATCCTCTCATCGACACATTTTTTAAAGATGAATGATTGTATTTGCTACTGGTGGCGTGATTAAGTGAATTGTGTGTAACTTTTGGGATTTCTCAGATAAGTTCCGTTCTGTAACAGAGTCTTATTTCGATATGACGATAAAGAGCAATCATTAATAATATTTTTTGAGAAACATGAAACGCAATATTGTTGAGCTTGTTGGAGGGTTTAAAAAATGATTTTAGAGGTAGTAGACCTTGTGTTATCTACTTTGCTAGGGATTGCGTTACTTTTAGATGACTCAGATGGTTTTGAGATTTGACATTGAAAACGGTAATTGATTATAGCAAGATTCAGTAACAATTTTGAATTTAATATATCCTTTTAGTGTTAGAATAAATCATATTAAATATGTTTTTAATATTAAATACTAATTCTGCGAATTGTAAAGATCAAGATCAATTTTTAATAAATTACATAAACTGCTAAATAAGTATTTTGATTTTATAAAAAAAAATCAGAACTGAGTGTTAGAATTAGCAAAATAATTGGTTCATCACAATATTCACATCCAGTATTTGTCCGACTATCGTACAGTGCTGTTGAATATTTTAAAAGACTGCGCGGAATCTAGGATCGTACAACAATCGCGTTTGTATTATATACAGTGCTTTTCAGATAAAAGTATCCACCTTAAGTAACTTTTGAAGGACTGATTATTACAAAAAACAAAAAAATACATCAATTAATATTCGAAGGGGGAGATATCGTGCCATATTTAAGTTTGCTGAAAAGGTCACCCTTTCACCCCTACTATCATCCCTTCAATTTTTTTAAATGGCTTCCCCCATTTTTTTGTACATTTTTGGATTGTTCTCGTTTAACTGATTTCAAAAATGTATAAAACATGGGGTTTAAAATAATTAGTTTATGATCTACAGGGTTCTATTATTTGAGTGACAAATTTTTACATCTCACCTTACTGACTGCAGCAAAATTGGATTTAGAATACATTATACCTTAATCGTACCGCTAAAAACTTGTTGAAGTTTTTTATGATACATGGTAAAGGTATTGGAGATTTGAAAAATGAATTTAAATTACTTTTATAGTGTATTTTGATACATGTGCACATTGATTTGTTGAGGTTATTTATTTGATTTAAAAATGGTTTACAGTTTACAAGAAAGAATTGAACTTGTAGGTTTATACTACAAAAATAACAGTTCTGCACGAGCTGCTGCTAGAATTTTCAACGAAACACACCAAGGAGGTCAAGCAACTCATAAGTATGTAATTGATCTTATGCATAAATTTACATCAACCGGGTCAGTTGGCAATAAAAAACATAACCGACTGGAACTCGTAAATAACGAAGCAATTGAAGTCGCAGTTTTAGGACAAGTAAGTCTTGAAAATCAACAAGCACAGTCACTGACAACAATAAGCAGAGAAGTAGGTGTTTCATCTTCCACAGTTTATCGAATATTACACAAGCATAAGTACCATCCATACAAAATTAAATTGGTTCAAGAGTTCTATGAAGATGATTTTGATCGTCGTCTTGAATTTTGTGAACTATTGAGTCAGCGCTTGACTGACAATCCACATTTGTTGCACAACCTTTGTTTTTCGGATGAATGCACATTTTCAGTTAATGGTTTAGTTAATAGACATAATTGCAGATATTGGGCTGAGAGTGATCCACATGTTGTGCGTGAATACCACACACAGAATCCTCAAAAGTTAAATGTATGGTGTGGTATCCCAGGTGACCACATAATAATAATAATAATAATAATAATAATAATAATAATATAACTTTATTCAATAATAAATTACATATGTATATGAATCATATCTATATATACAATAAAAAAATATGATTCTTCCTAAAAAAGAAGTACCATAAAAATATAATATGATATAATAAAAATAACAAATATTAAATAAAGTGGTGCGAAGCGATAAGTATTAAATACTTGTATCGCTTTATAAAACAATTTAGGTAATAATAACAATAACAATATCAATACAGCTCATATAATTATTGTTTTATAATAAAAAAAAAAATGAATAAATGAACAGAGGAAGCCACACTGAGTACCGGACATCCAGAAAATGAGAAGCTAAGGATAAACTTGACAGCTCCTCAGGCACTGTATGTCAGGTAGGTAAGCAATAAGCTTGCCTCGTCATCTATGATTTTTTTACTTTTCATTTTACATGACAAAAAGAAAGGAAGAGAGAAAAAAAAAACAATTAAAAATGTTATAAATGTTATAACCCAAAAAATATTTCCACACCTTTAGCTGAACAATACATTTCAAAAGCAAGTGATAGTTTAAGGGTAAGTATATGAATATTCAATTTTATTATAGAATTTTAGTTTGTTTCATCTTAGTTTATTTTAATTTTTTTTTATTTTTTATTTTAATTGCTACCGATTATATCTATAGTTTCATTTAAAATCCATTTCGCAATAATAGTTTTAAAGTTTTTATAATAAATTTTTGACTTTAGTTCTTGAGGCAGTGAATTCTAAACTTTTAATCCGACGTATGAATAACTGCGTTGCGAGAGGGTTGTTCTACATTTCGGTAAGATAATCTTATTGTTTAGATGAAATCTTGTGTTATATTGGCGGCACATAATATTTATTTCCTTTGTATTTACAAGTTGAATCAAAGCTTGTTTATAATACAATTTTCTTATAGTTAATAAGTTACTGTAAGTGAAAAGTGCTTCAGTGGGAAATCGTAGATTTAATTTAAATATTAGTTTAATCAGACGTTTTTGAATTACCACTAAAGGTTGCAAAGTAGTAGTGTAAGCTCCTCCCCATCCAATTATCCCGTAATTTAATATAGATTGAACTAGGGCGTAGTAAAGTGAAATAAGATCACACTCACTAAGTATTTTTGAGGTTAACTTAAACATATATAATAGTGATCTCATTCTTTTCACCAGATTATTAATATGTATATTCCATTTTAGATTTGAGTCTATGGTTACTCCTAAATATTTGGCACTACATGACACAGGTAAAGACCAGGATGTACTACGGAATGGTAGATCTATTTTTAACGAATTTAAATTCGCTAAGACATTTTTAAAATTATAAAATGGTAGATACACTGTCTTGTCTAAATTAATTGTTAAAAGATTTTCATCAAACCAGTGTGTTATTTTTTGTAAATCTCGTTTTAGGCTAGTTTCCACTTCCAACCAATCGTTTCCTTTAACAAAGAGAGCAGTATCATCAGCAAATGAGATTATGTTGCCATCCGTTTTTAAGGTAAGCAAATCGTTTAAATATAATATAAATAATATGGGTCCTAATATTGTACCTTGAGGCACCCCATAGATAACATCTTGTGGTGCACTTCTATTTCCATTAACTTCAACTATTTGTTGTCTGCTGGTTAAGTAACTTTTTAAGGAGTAAATGGGCTTTACCTCTAAATCCCATATCATAAAGCTTTGATA